CTCTTGAACCAGTCAGAACCGCCCACCTTTACAGCTTGTTTGCGGGTGCCTGTGGCCACCAGCGCTCTACATCGGGTCTCACTCCCCACCTTTAGCTTTTGAGCTGCGCTCTCTCTTCGTTGCTAGCTGGGCAGGCCCGCGAACCCCAGGATCCTCCCATCTCCCTGCCGCCCTGTGCTAAGATCCCGGGTGTGCTACCGAATTTAGGTCCTCATACTTGGGCAGCAATCACTATACCTACTTTTGAACAGGGTCTCGCTCTGTAATGCAAGCTAGTCTGGAACGGTGATTATAGGTGTGTGCCACAGCACTGCTTTTTTTAAAGTCGGTCTTAGTCTCTCACTTTGTTTTAAAGTTTGCTTCTTAAACACATAGCAATAGCTTAAAAAGAGGGAATCCTTGTTGATATTAAGTAGAAAGAAAAAAAAAAAAAAAAAGCTGTCTGAACACATACAGGAGAGACATCTAAAGAACAGGAGGACCTTTTATCCCAAAGCTTAGGAGGCAGGCAGGTGGATCTTTGTGAGTTTGAGGTCAGCCTGCCCTACAAAGCGAAATCCAGTCTTCAAAACAAATAAAAAAGACCATTTCAAACTGATCATGGAAACTAATATCTATAATCCTAGCCTTAGGATACATATCGAGTTTCATCATAGGCTACAGTGAGATCCTATTTAGAAAAGCAAAACAGGGAGATGGTTATAGTCCATCATGCAAAAGCCAAGACAGGAACTCAAGGCAGGACCCTGAAGCAGAAACCAATGAAGTAACACTGCTAGCTGGTCCCTCCCAGGCCCACCTGTCTAGAGATGGTAACACCCACAGCAGGCTAGGCCTACGTTAACAGTCAAGAAAAGGTTCCACCGGTTCAAGTTTGCTTTCCCTGGGTGTACCAAGTTGACAACTAAAGCTGTGACAGCAGGCAAGGACTTGCTGGGAAGCCTGACAGAGTTAAATTCCTCAAACCCACAAGATAGGAATGCTCACTCCACTCCTTCAACTTCTACTCTGACCTCTACACATACACCATGGAACATATATGCATTCAATCCATTCTTTTTCAGCATAAGTAAGTGTAAAAAAAATTAACTCTGGGGCAGGTGGAGGGGTAGTCATGGTAAATATGACCAATATATCGTATATATTATGAAACTGTCAGAGTAAAAAAAAAATTAAAAGGATTCACTCCATAAATATTGATAGACTAGGCAGTGGTGATGCATTCCTTTAACCCCAGCGCTTAGGAGGCAGAAGCAGGATCTCTGAATTCTGAGACCAGCCTGGTCTACAGAGTTCCAGGACAGCCAAGGCTACATAAAGAAACTGTCTCAACAACCCCCCTCCCCCCCCCAAAAACAAGACCCTGATAGTCAGGGTTATTGATAAGGGTAATCATTCAGAAGCTTTGACCAGGGGAATTGAGAACACTGGACCCTCAAATGGCAACATCTCCTCCCCGATGAGGGGTTGCACTGGGAAGATGCTGCCCTGGAGCTGCTAGGACTCTTCTGGGGGCTGAAGGGATGGCTCAGCAGTTGGTCAAGGGCACTGCATAAGACTGGGGTTTGGCCCCAGCACCTCCAACACCTCTCTGGTCCCCTCCAGTAATGCATGCATGTGATGCACACACTAGCAGCACTTTTTCAAATAAACATTCTTGAAAAAAAAAAAAAAAAAGCTTTTGGAAGCCAGAGGCGATGCTTGTTCCAGATGGGCAGGAGCCAGCTCTGAGACGTGGGGAGGGGAAAGGTCACAGCTCTCTTGTGGCACCCAGTGTTAAAGTGAATCTCATCGGCAACTCCCAGGCAGAAAGGATTACATGAAGTAAAGAGGTGCCACCATGTCCAGTAGCTTGCTCCATAGTTCCTGAGTGCCCGGGGACCCCATGCAGGCAAATGTGTTAAAGACTGAGCCCAGACAGTGAGTCTCCAAAGAATGTTTTATTCGGATCCTTGGTCAGTTATGTTTTGGGCAGACTTCTGGTCATGGGTCCCATGATGTATTCTGAAATTACATTGAAATACAAAGTCCAGTACTAAAACTTAAAAAAAAAATTTTTGTTTTGTTTTTTCTTAAAAACCAGCCGTATACACCAGAACAAAGGATTGCCCTTTAAAAACACTGTGGAGATGCTGCTGTTGCTAGTGTCACCTGTGGGATGAAGAGGAGGCCTTTGGTATCTGAGCTTTTTGCTGTGAATATGTTGTTCTTTCATACAGGTATTGCGACAAAGGTGACCTTCCCTTAAAGTAAGTCCTCGGTTTTACAAATGAAACCAACACTGTTGCATTTTATGTCCACAGAAGCTGGTAGGACCCAACTCCATCCCCAAGCGGCTTGAGGACCAGCGGCCATCTTCAATACTTGCCCGCCACTTGGCACTGTGGGGCCTGGAACCCACTCTGAGTAACACCTCACTTAATGGCTTGTGGACCATGCACCAGGCCCTGACCTGTCATGCCTGCTGCTGAGCGTCTCTAGGGGCTGACTAGCTGGGGGAACAAAGACCAAAGGCAGTAGCAAAATTGATGTTTACAGTGAATCAAGAGCTGACTTTTCTGTTTCTCCTTTGGAGGGATGTGGAGCTGCTGTCTGGTATTTCACGGAGAGAGAAGATATCACAACCCATTCTGCACACCTCACAGAGAGGCCTAGGCAGAATCAGCTCCCACAAAGTCCAGCCCTAGAGGCTGTTGTGGGCATACTAGTTCCTGAGCTCTGCACAGAAAAACAGTAAAATGGTTACCAAGGCCCTGATTACTAGCCCAGCTGCTTGTGGGACCTTGGGCTGAAGGTGAGGACCCATGGTCAACACTGATTGTCCTACAGATGGCTCCTGAACCTGACATCATCCCTTCCATGCCTGGTCTGGACCACTGTCCCTTCCTACTTTAGGTTCTTCTGAATAACTCCATCTTTGTAGGGAAACCACTCCCAAGAACTCTGAAGATGACCAGACCCTGTATTCCTGGCTTCGAAGCAGCCTGCGAAGGGCCTCTCAGACCCAGGACAGGGTCAAATGAAAATTCCCTTAAGTCTGACCAGGAGAGATGGTCGGCAGGTCAGAGCTGGTGCAGCTTCCCCCTCTCAGTGAGCAGTGTCATAGCTACGGCATAGAGAAGGTAGCCGAGGATCAGGAGCAAGGAGCAGGGCAGGGGCCCAATGCAGAACAGAGAGGCCACAAAGAAAGCCATCAGGAGCAGGAGCAGTGTCCGGTAACTGCCCAGGAAACGCAGGCTGAGCCTGGGGCCCCGGGCAGGACTGGTCACCGGCCTCCGGCCCACAGGACTCAGCAGGTGTCTATTGCTCAGTGCTGACTCGGTGAGGTGATAGCGACAGAAGCTGCCAAGGAAGTCATTCCGGGAGCACAGAGCTGCCATCTGGCCTGCAAACTGAGTAAGAAACAAGGATTCAGCAGCATTGGGGACAGCAAACACCCTCTCTTCAGGCTGCCTCTAGGACTAGGTGCTTTCCACGGGCTCACTATCAGGGCTGTGAAGGGCAAGATGCTGTTTAGGGCAGGAGCACTCTGGATGCAATGTCCAGAAGCATCCCGGCTGCCCCTGGGCTCACTTACTCTGTGGTTGATGGCAGAGGACAGCCGGAAGAGTGCTCGGACCAGACTGGTGATTTCATAGCTCCGGATGGGCTGCAGCTCTAAGTCCCCCTGGTACTCAATTTCAAACCTTCGCAGACCATTAATGATCTAAAAACCCAGGCAGTGGGGAAAGTTCCAAAAATACATCTTGGCAAACAACACGGGGAAGGGGGTAGGGGAAGCCAAGGACAGATCGTGTGACCATTATGCGCCCCCATTGACAGAGGTGTAGTGGCCTGTTCGTGACCTACCTGGTAGCGACCCAGGGGTGTAAGGATGAGCCCTTCTTCCCCCACAATGCAATCTGGTAGCTGCTGCTTTCCATTCTCATCCCGTGAGTTCCCCAGGGCAAGCGTGAGTTGGGCCAGCTGGGCTTCACTGAGCTGCCAAAGAGAAGGAAGGCTTCTGCTTTCAGAGGGAATTTCAAAAGGAAGGAAGGGGAGAGCTCTTCACCCCCACCGGAGTGAGTCCCTCACAGAGCGAACTGTGTAGGACATACTCGGAAAATCTGACGGAGGTACTCCAGGGCCTTCTCCAGGTACTCATCTGTCTTGCGGACACTGTCCTGACCCATCTCATCCAGGTCATTGCCTGGGTAGCAGCTATTTGGGTCTGTGGTGCCAAAGCCCAGCCATGACAAGAAGGAATGGCTAGCTGGGCTCTCCGCATACTGATCAGAGATGGACTTGGCAGTCTGCTTGGCCTGTGTGATGAGCTGAGCAAGGCGTAAGACCTGCAAGGGAGACACAGGCATGACAAATGGGCTCAAGGGGACACCCAAGGAGGCGTCACTGCCATTTGGGCAAGGTGGCCCTGGGGAACTAGCTCTACGAAGAATGCCCACCCAGAGCAAAAACTGACATTTGCTGGGCATTGGTGGCGCACGCCTTTAATCCCAGCACTTGGGAGGCAGAGGCAGGCGGATCTTCATTGCTTCAGGGACCTCACATAAGGATGGACCTTTGGCCACTCACCAGGGTCCGGACTTCAGGACCAAACATTGGGGTGTATTTGCAGTCTTGGCCCTCCA